TTCTTTATTTTTCTGAATTCAACGGATATGATTTGTTTACGAGTTGTTCGAAATCAAATTTCCTGAATATCGTCATTCGGACGTCATACGTCTCGTGAAAGACCAAATCTCGAATTTATCTACGGAAGGCAGTAACGGAGAGGTCAACGATACATTGTGATTTTGCAATAGCTGAACGGTTAGAAATGAATATTATCGTCAGAATATACCGATAAAATTAAGAAACAGCTATTAATATGCTGAAATAAGGACTAATTTGTTGCAACTTAAATGCTTGTTCATAAATTATTAATACTGATAACCGATTTAATATTTCCATTACATGCTAATCTCTTTACGTTTGCATTAGTCAGAGGTCTGCAAAATTTCAACGTTAATAAGCAACTTTTGCAAAATTAATTTTTTTAACGTACAATTTATTAATTTATAATATTGATATAATTAATATATATATATATATATATATATATATATATATATATGTGTGTATATATAAATTTTTATCAAAATTAATAAAATTAATAAAATTGTACGTTAAAATATATATATATACATATTAAAATAAAATTTATATGATTTTGATATAAAAATTATTTTAATTTTGTATTATTTATATATTTACATAAGAATTATTTCAAAGTTTTGTACATACTTATGTATACAATAAAATTCAGCATTACAAAAAATATAATAAACTCAACATATTTAATTAAATAAATTTAATATTTATTTTTTATATTGCTTCTTTGATTAAAATTATGTTGAAGTCTGTCTAATCTCGTCAAATTAACGACAAATAAAATTTTCACCGGACCAAACGCGGGGTTAATGATGCTTGATATAACAATTAACAGTGCTTTGTCGCAAAAACAAGCGATTTATTTCAAGCGACAAATGCAAAACCGACGCAAATTTATAGTGATTAATTAACCGAATTGACGTAATAGTCGCTTTAACAATTACTGATTACGACAAAATATCTCTTCAATGACATTCACTAGTCATGCGCAAGAATATGATTTAATTTATAATTATCAATGTACGAAGAGAGACGTGAATTTAACCTTTAAGCAGAAGAGAAGATATATAGTAAAGCATTTTTTGTCGTAAAAAAATGTATTACATTTTTATAAAACACCTAAAAATTTTATAAAAATATTACAAATATCTGAATCAATTAGAATATATTTGCATATTCAGCTAACAACGTAAAAAATATTAATTTTGTCGTAAAAAATATTAATTTTGTAAATTTTGAAAATTGGAAAATTACAATGATTAAATCATAAAAATCGTAGAATTATTATTGAATTATTATTTTAAATTATTTATTTTAAATGGTTTTTTTTACAAATTATAAACATAAGATGTATGACTAAAATAATATATAAATATATAAATTGCATATCATTTTTCAAATTAGTTTCAGTTTAAAAATAAAACTTTGATTTCTATTCTATTTAATTTAAAATTGTATACCTTGAAACAAAGTTTTTCATCATACTTTTTTTGTCGTAAAATAGAAAATCTCTTTTTCTCTGATTGCTACAATAGACATCATAAAAATTATATGACAAATTTCATTCTGCACAATGTAACAAGAAAAAACGAGAATAAGAAAGAGAGAGAGAAAGAGAGAGAGAAACAGAGGACTAATTACTTATCGTTTTCACAAGGACAGAAACCTCGTAAGCACCGATAAGATAAGTAGAAAGCTCGACATTTTGTTTCCCGTACGGCGGCAAATAAGTAAGGAGGAGAGGTCAGTTGCAAACTAGAAATTGTCGAAGGATAGTGGAATATTTCGGGAGATAATCTTTCGACAAAGATACAAACACGAAACTCACTTTTGATGACCTTTTTTTATTTTTATTTTATTTTTTTGGATTATAAGTTTTTCTTTACATTCTTTTCTCTCTATTTCTCTTTTCCTCTCTGTCCTTTTTCTCTCTTTCCTTATTTGAAAAAGACCACATTTGACATCTTTGGATTTCGAAGTATCCGAATAATGAACTATGAATGTGCATACTTGTATTCTCTAAGATTAGAGACATCGCATATACTGTTGTAATAGTAATCCTCAGAAAACTATCGTTTCTTATCTTATTTGGCTTAAGTAGTGTCAGACTTTACGTAAAGTCATCACAAATAAAGTCAATATTACAAAATTATAAATGATTTGATTTTCACGTCTTTGATTTTAAAGGCCTTACAATTATGATTAAACTAATTATGTAATTGAAAATGTTACAAAATTAAATTTTCTATTTTGTTAAATAAATTATAAATTATAATATATATATATATATATATATATATATATATATATATATATACAATAGTTAAAATTAATTTTATAATTTATTTAAAAAACAGAATCTGAAATTGAAACATGAATGAACCTTATGCATTTTTAAGCATTAAAGTAGATAATCATTTGCTGAATCTATTAAATCATCTGTGTAACGTATTCGAAAACGTGTTTTCATTAAATTAATTCACGTGTGAAAATTAGTTGCGTGCGAAGTTTATTAAATCGATCGATTCGACTACCCGCGTCGAATTTTGTAATTTATTGACTTGATTATTCCATACGCGATACGGTCCCGACATAATCAATTAACGTGGATCTGCCTTTCCATGTATGCAGATGTATCTTGACGTAGCATTTTCAAGTATGTGTTAATCGTGCGTAATGCGTCGCGTAAACATTGTCCGTGAACTGATTAAACGAGTGAGTGATCACGTGAACGCAAAATGCATACTTACATTTGAGCTTGTTCAAATATCGAGTTATATGTTAATTTGCGAATCCGTTTATAGCTATATTAAATCTTAATAATTTGAGTAAACTCTAGTAAACTCTAGCAAACTCTAGACTCACTCAAAACAGAACGGATTATGGTCTTTTAAATATCGTATTATTATACATATTTATTATTATACATATTATTATACATATTTATTATCATAAATATTTATTATTTATAACTTATACAGTCTGTCTTTTTTTAATTATTTTATATCTTATATATTTATTTTAACTTTTTCTTCTACTTTCTTCTATGATTGTATAAGAGAGATTTGTTTTAAATCAACTAATTATAATTTAATTATTTTTTATAAAAAATCTACCCAAAATCTACTTGCATTTTATTAAATTACAGTTGATTATTACAATTTTATATATTTTATTATTTATATCTGCTATTATTATCTTTTATTGGGGACTAATATAT